TTACCAATAGTTCACAAAATGTAGAAAATTAAACGCAATAAAAAACTGGCTGCTATGTATCGAACGAAAAAATCAGCAAAAAGACGAATGCGATGTAAAACTATGGCTTAAAAGCAGTAATTATAACTTACAATAAGAGTTTTATCATCTGCAGTGAAAAAGTATTGAGGACATTGATCAGGTTGTTCACTAGACTGTCCTACCCAGTTATAAACAACCGGCATTTCTGAAGCGCGGTCCAGTCTCCACACAAACGACTCACCAGTACCAAAATATCTGGTTTTTGTACGGCGATCTTTTCTTTCAGTCCATGGCACACTACAGAAAGCACCAAATACATCGCTAGTAGTTGTTTCAATGACAATTAAAGTTTGTTCGGCTTCCTCAATCCTAAAAAAATTCATGATGCTGCGAGCAACAAAAAAATATCATAACAACTCTCTCCTTCTAGTAAATAAAATCACAGCTCTTGAAAGTTGTTTTTCATGCTTCTTTTGAAAAAAAAGGACTTACTTTGCCCAGAAATTAGTAAAGCTAACACCATCATCGCTTAAACAAAATAGAAGCTGAGGTGTGTCAAACTGTAACCGTTGTGGGAAAGCACACATCAAAGCGTTTGCAACAGAAGCATCAACAATATTCGAAGAAAATGGTTTTGCGTAGACGTATGCCGATATTTTATGCTTTGGTGATACTGGAACTGCTGAATCAGCTGTTTCTGCTTTCGCAGATTCTTCCTCACGAACCTGTAAGATAAGCAGTGTAAAAAAGTTAAAAATAAAAATAATTATTTAGATGCATTAATGCAAAGCTTCAGGAGAGGAAATTCTTACGATATCCTCAAATGCCTTTTGGTACTTTGCAACTGTAGACCCCTTTAAATTTCTTATGCCCACTGCAACGTCCAAAAGAGTTTGAACAGAAATGGGGCACCACTGTGCAGTTTCCACCAGCTGGGCAGAAAGTAACGAAAGGCGCTCTTCGACCGATTTGTTGGCGAAAAGAGAACCCTTAACAAAAAAGCAGTATAAATCTAAAATGATGCAATACTTTCATAAATAAAAAATAAACTGCCAATTTCTTTTGGATTCTACCAAGTGACAGCGTATTCTCCGGTTTCTCACATTTTTAATAAACCAAGAATTAACGACAAATTATTTTAACACACAAGTAAAGCAAACAAGGTTTCGCAAATAAAGAACTGCTAGCTTCAAAAGCTGAATAGAAAATACGACACCCACTTGTCTTCCTTTATGCTTAGACCATATATACACAAGAGCAACCCCAACGCGCAACAGTAATTTATGTCCTTCATACAAAAAACAGTCGACCACACGAACGGCATATTTGAATGGTAAATACTGAAAAATCCAATTTCGCCACTTCAGGAAAATTTTGACCAATTCTTTATCATCCGTAACGCCTGCACGTTTTTTTAAAGTCTGATATACTGAACTCTAAAACTCCAAATCATAAGCCATGAACTATAAAGATGTGAGTTTCATCAAAAACAGCAATTTTTTAGGAAGGAATTTACGTTTCACATGTTAAGTATGAGAGAACTACCTATATGACGCAAAGCACAAAACTGTAACTTCAAATTTTCTGAGGCACTTTTGGCAACAGAAATTCCTAGAGCCTCTACTTACCTTATGTTTTTTGATAAGAGCAATAAGTGTTCTTCCTGAAGCAAGAACAGAAATAGTTGACTGCTGTAGAAAATCAGACCCCCGCAGCAAATGCATAGCGCATGCAAACGCATCTTCCTCTTTCAAGTAATGCAAGAAAAGAGCACACAAAGGATATAGTATCTAAATAAATACGCAAAACATACCAAAATGTGCCAAAGAAATTGAACAGCAGAAATTCATGGCACAGAAATGTATCATTTCACAAGTTTTCAAAGCAATATACTGAAATTTTTTTGAAAAGCCACTTACAGGAACAAATGTTACATCAGGCCGAACACATTCTATAACTAAAAGTAATCTTTGCAGAGCTATTGTACCTTTGTCAGAAAGATCATAATCATGCGTTACACTGCCAGCAGCTGAAAGGAAATGGGCCTTCACAACGCCCAAACCTGAAAAAAAGGCAATACTGAAACAATTAATTAACCGGAAGCATTAAAACTTGTTTCAAAAATTTCTGTCATGTTTAATTTCTCACTTCTAATTGTAACAAACAAATGAAAGGTCACCAAATCAGAATGTCATTTTGTGTTTGAATATCTCAAAAAGATTCCTTAACCTTTGGTTTTAATGCGTAAATGAATGTTTCTTTTAGAGATTAGTAAAACTTTACTTTTTCCTTTATGAGTAAGTTCTTCAATCTCTCTCTTGTAAAGTTCACAGTTAGCACTATAATTTCTGTCACGACACACTTCTTTCCATAGTTCACGACGAATCTCATGCGCAGCAGGCCAATCATTATGTCTTAGAAAATTTTTTATCTAAACTTCACACAATTACAAAAACAGCAGCAAGTGCGATTCAAAACAGGGGTATCTTGCAGCTCGCCACTGAATATACACAGTAACTTTCCCCTCTTATTTGAGTGGTGACGCAAAAATTTTCAAAAGGCTATCAAAATCTAAGATTACTAATCCCAAAAGATTTAATGCAAATTTATAGACTTCAACAGCAGACAGAAAAATTTAAATAAGTAGAGTAGGTTCTAATACTGTACAGCTGTAAAAAGATTAATACCATAATGTTGTTCTGAAAAACTAACCGGCTTTTTCCTAGCAAGTTGAAGTAGTCGTTTGAGTTCTGAAAGACCTCCATAACGTTTTTCGCAGGGTTCTATTGTCAGACTTGCATATTCAGTGAAACAATTCCCAATACGCATCTGCAAACAGTTTGCAGAATAACTCCTCTTGCAAGTTCTCTGTTATCCTAGCAATCTTCTCTTGCTAATTAAAGGAAGATATTAAGCTATAGAAATTAGCTATATTAAGGAAAAAATACTTGGAGCAAATCATGTTCAGCAGGTTCTAGTTTCTCAAGGTCATAATCATCTTTCGACTCTAGACCATACGTGGTTGACTTCTTAGGGCCTAGACGCAGTGATCGACGTACTGCAAACGATAAACGAGACCCAAGAGAAGTATTTCGAGGATCTGAACGCATTATAATACTTTCTGGCGGTCCTTCATCACCCATGGCCAAATTAGAAGCTAAAATAATTTTAGAATACTGAAGAATGGAAAAAGAAGGTATAAAAAGCGTTCATTTAAATAACATTGAACGATGAAAGACGACGCAGTTATTATAAAATTCGGAAAAGACACAAAGTACTCCACAAAACTACAAAAAACTTCAATGAGAACGTACATCAAATTAGTTATCTTTAAACTACTCGTCAAGTTAAAGATGTGAAAATTGAAAGAAACTAAATTAATACTCAATCTTTGATATAAAGGTATGAGAATCAAGGACGAGAATCAATTGGCTGGCACAAAATTGTTCAACAGTTTCGACAAAAAACCAATATTACGGTACCATAAAATCATTTAGAAGTTACAGCTTTCCTGGAATTTTTATAAAATTGACAACTCAGTCTTTGAAGTGCTACCGTGTGACAGCACTGAAGAAAAACAAAAAAGCGAGCAACACTGCAAATAAAAACCATCCATGAAACATAGACAGTAGATATAATCAACATATTTTTGTACGTCTACTATCTGAGGTATACTTTTGCTTAAAATTTTTTTAACGTGTAACATGTCCTCAGTCCTCATAAATTCACTGGTGCTGCTGAAGTTGAAAATAGAGTTAGTATTTCAATGCACAAAACAGTCAGAATAATCGTCATCCTAGTAAAAATTTTCTCAAAAACTACATACCTTCAAAATTGTTTAATACTAACCAAATATCAGTATGAAAAAACATCAATATTTTGAAAGATTAACATGAAACAAGTGAATCACTTTTGTTCAAATTCTTTTCCTTTTTATATCAATATGTACTCTTTCCGCAAAAGAGGTTTTATAAACGTCCTTTTGTCATAACAAATAATAAGTTTAAAAAATAAGCAAAATTAAATTAAAAATTTATTTGGCAACATTAATTCAAAATGAAAGAAGACTAAAAAATACTGAATATCAGAAGAAACAAAAAACCTTTTGAGATAGCCATACTGTAGTACCCACAGATCAGTTCCTATAAAAATTTGCAAACGACCACAAGCGCAGAAGTACAGTTGCGATGAAATCACTATTATCGGTAGCAATACAAACCACAGATCAAGCAGCAGCTTTCTGGTGTCTTCATCGACAATATTTGCTGAATACTAATCAATATAAAGCATACAGAAATAGATACGTTTAATTTTATAAACAATTCTTGCCGTTCTTTTCTTTCGTCTTTTTTTTCCAACTAACATTTTATAGCCATAAAAAATGTCTTTTTTGATTTAATAAAAGCGTCAAATTAAATTAGACAACTAAACTTCAAGAGTCCTACATTGAAACAGTACTAAAAAAAACTTTTACTCCACCAAAAATGTACCAAAGAAAACACAAGAAAAAAAAAACCGTTGTACTCTTTCTTTTACCCTTTAAACTTGAAAAAAAATTTTTAAAATTTTTAACTGTAAATAGCTAATTTTGAGAAACCGCTTTTTAAACAGACGATATTAAACAAAATTAATAAGTACACAATTCTGTATTTCTGCAATTATAAATTTCAAAGTTAAGAAAAAAAACAACACATTTCTGTGACAGAATGAAAAGACAGTGCTAAAATAGTCTAAAAAAAGAAGAAAAAACACAAAACAAACAAATGATAATTTTCATTTTCTTTCTTCATCAAAACAAAAAACTATTTGTTTCAACAAAAATTGATTTCCTTCAATGATCAAGCAAAAAACCACGAAAGAAGATTAAAAAAAAA